TTGCCAATAGATGAATCACACATGTATTTCTAATATTTACATAGCTCAGATTAGATGAAGCAATGCAAATACATACAGCAAAAATGTCATGCCCATATTTTTAGTCAACGGAAACTTAGCGTTTACATTATTGAATATACTCAAATTTATATGTTTTTGTAGTAACTATATATGTGTAAATAACATAGTACGTTTGTTATTATTGGCCTGTATAAATTCATTAATGAATTTCGTTAATATGGGATATATACAAAATGTAAATAATGTTTTCGGAAATAGCACAAAAATCTTCCTAGATCAAAAAACACAACAAATATAACAAAGAAATATCTGTTCAATACTTTTACACAGAACAAGAGAAAGGTTGAAATTGACCTATTATTGACCCGATATTTTTTCTATAGATACAATTTCAAACGTAAAATATTCTTATATAAATATTCTAATTCTAAAGTATAAGTTATATTTCTTTTATATGTGGGTAAAGAAAATATGTATAAAATATTTAATAAAATTATTTTAGTTTTTCAGCCTTATACTGAAGTATAGGCGCGCGCGTTGATGTCTTTTACTAGACAATCATGTTTAGCCGAGCAAGTTTCATTGTTTGCTGCATCGATGTAAAGATTCTCATTGAGAATGGACATTATAAGATAAATTGAGTGAGCCTACAAGGAAGAGAAATTTATTAGCTTTATATATTATCTTATAAAACAAGTAACGACGGAGGATGGAATTAGTGTTTTCTACGTATTGTTTATGGTAACATGAGCTCATCTACCGTTCATTCCACTTATATAATCCTACTTGTCAAATAAATCACGTACTATATTATTGTAATCCGTCGATATTGTAGGTCAAGAAATGAATAGGACTTAGGTTTCTCATACACTAGATACTTTTTATCGGCCGATAGTCTGACTGATGTAAGAACGTCTTTGGTGCGCTCATTGGTTTATATAATAAAATATATATATAATAAAATACATAATATAAATAATAATAAATAAATAATGCATGTCGCGTTTGAACTGTTAAAATTGTTTTATTTAATAGTTGCTTAATGAATTCGGAATACCCAAAAATCTAAATTTGCCAACAATTGTTTTTCAGATGTTAAAATGCTGGATTTCATCACAGTCTATTGAATCTCATGATAGTCTGTCACAAGCCATGTGACGTGAGATGTGATGTCTTAAATAGTAACTTTATAATATAAGTTCTCTTACAGTTACAATATACTTTCAGCGCTGTAAAAAAGAGAAGTAAAAGCGATCATTATTCTGTGTCCGTTTCACTGATCGATTATTTTTAATGGCAAATAGTTGATGACTTCTATGCCCTGCTCGACCGAAACAATTTATTGCATCCCTGGGATTCGAAGCCACGCAAGCATAACGCAATGCTAAACAACACGTTTGATCATCTGACTAAAAAGGCGGTACTTTCAGCGTAGCTATGTAATAATGGCAAAGCTGCTAATATTTACCTTCGATTAAAATAAAACACTTTTGACGGTTTAATCCGCGAAATATTAGACCTATTTACAAGTTATTTTAAGTAAGGCCCACCCTATATTTGGATGCTTTGCAGCTGCCATTGTCACGGAGAGACTGACGATGATATTTCGTGTTTAAAGCCGTTTAAAGCGATTTAATAATTTGTATACCTGTTAACTACAGACAATACTTAGTTTACTTCTTTCGGAATGTTCGCTTAGATTATCATATTTCTTTATCGTGTGTATACACCCTAAAGTTGAGTTTCAAAATGTATAGAAAACACTAGGCTTAACTAATTTCAATGGAACAAGTAAAATAACAGGCATCGGTTCTAATTGATGTTGTATTAGCCAGGTTAATAATTACGATGTCAAAAACACTTGCAGGATACTTTGCAACACCGTTACGCAAAGTTATGTAGGCTGTATAAGGCTACTTGCGCCTCATTGATAAGTATATTGATCTACGGTTTCTGAGAAATCTCATTTTAAATTCGTGTTGTAACGTTATGTTTCGTTATATATTGCAACCTTACAAGTCCCACCGTTGGGAACCAGCCCAAAAGATCCTGACGTTATAGTAAACCAAATAAATATTGGTGGGTGATTTTAGAACATTCTTTGCATTGTATACACTTATTATAGCTCTAGTGGTACCCGTATTATCAATTGTTATTGTAAATCTCCATCTTCAAGGTCGCCTGGAAGAAATCGCTTTGTGGCGATAAGACCGCCGTTTTCTCATTGCATATTTTTGAATTTTTCAATCAATTTTTTCAACGAAAACAAATTATCGCCACCCCGATATTTGAACCCAGAACGTGTTGCGCTTGACGCGTGCCTGGTAACGCGTTAAAACTTAACAAAGGTGAAGAGGAGATTTGCAAAAACAATTTAAATTTCTAAAACAACTATTCTACGCGGACGAAGTCGCCGACACAGCTAGTGGTGTAATTAATTTTTTTACGGTTTTAATTTGAAAATAGATCGACAGCGTATCTTAAGTTAAATGGCTAGAGTATTTCAAGTGCCATCAAGACTAAATGCAGGTGAAATAACTTAGCCATTTAACACCTAAAAAGTGTTGTATGTTTCTAAGATCGGCTCTCTAGAGTTGTTAATCCGAGTCTTGTCGTGTAAAATCCTTAGTACGTGTTTAACGAATTTGGGTTAAGCTGATAATTAAAAACAATAAAGCGATAAGAAATAATTGAACCACTTAAAGCAACTCGTAACATACAAAAACTAAATGCCTGTAAGTTACGTGAGCTGGAATGTCGGTCTGTCTGTCACGCGTATAAGGCGAGGAGATTTCCCGGGCACTTTTCTTAATCGCTTGCGTTTTCTTTATGTAATAGATCGTTTGAATTTGGGTTACGTCCAACATTTTTAAACATCGATCCAGGAATAAACGACGATAAAAGCCGAATTTCAATATTTCCAAAACATAAAATAAAAAAAAAAACAGAATATAAAATAGAAAATAAAAAAATTGTTTCCTTATATCATTTGTTGTATGAATGTCGATTTGATCTGAAAATTATAGTTCCATGTTTAAGTATTATCGTTGCGCGAGAAACACTCATTTAAAAAAACGCTTTAAAACGCGGAATATATTAGTTACTTTATTTTACTAAGGTTCAACGTTTCGGGTACTTGGTCATGATCACGGAGGTGCAAATTAAGCATATGTTAACGTTAGCAATTAAAGTAATCTCGCGTTTGAAACCGGTAAATATGTTTTTATTTTTATTATTATCATACAAACAAGACAACAATTGGTGTATTCATATTAACAAGAGTAAAAGTTTAAATATCGAATAGAAGTGTTTGAATTTGGAATTGATGCAAGTGTTTGATGCAATCTACAGACCAGAGCTTAGATATAACTGAAATAGGGTTTTCGTAACAATACAAGCACAAGGAACTAAGCAATGCACCGTTAATAAGATTCCTATTTCGAAATTGTTCTAAACGACTGCGAGTTCGCCCCGCCTAAGACAAAGATTCATTTCGCTAATACTGTAACATTTCCTATGAGTAATGCTGCTTTCAAATTTATTAAGTTTCACACATCGAAGCAATTACATAAAGAAACAAATATAAGTGAATATAACAAGAATCGGAAGAAGAAATAAATTTAAAAACCATTCAGATTAAAAAAAAATACGACACGGGCGGCACCGAACTGGAAGCGTTCCGTCCTGCTCTAACCAATCGAGTTACCGTGTTAGAGCACCGGCACTGAACGCTTTAGATGCCTGTCCCAGTCTCGCCCGTGTCGTAATATTTTCAATCTGAATAGATATTTTATTTATTTAATGTCATCACGTGAAATGGTAGTGGAAACTGTTACCTGTTATAAAGCACTGTTTCTAAGAAAAAGGAAAAATTAATGGATAATATTTAACTTTTTTTATCTTGCCTCTCTATCTGCCTGTATTTTCCACATTTTCCACTATTTCTTCGCTACTTTTGCTCGAAGCGTGATGTTAAATTCCTTCCACGTTAAATTCTCTAACCAACACAAAACAAAACAAACATCTTTATAATATACTATAGATGAAATATGTATTATTTACCTTAGGACTTTAAGTAGCATTTGGGTCATATCATATACTAGATTTATCATAACATAATTTTGAAGTGATAAGAATATTTCGCATTATATAGTAGGTTGTAATGAATAACTTTAAAACAAAATTTTATCTATCTACGAGGAAGATATATGACTAATCTATTAAGAGTTCAATTCCTTACATAAGTATTACGTCTGGATCTAGTTCAGTACCCAGACAGGTTGCCTTAAACGCGTGCCCAGTAACGAGGGCAAGTAAAAGTACATCTATAGAGCTGCTAATTCTTTTAATATTTGAAATGGTAGAACGTTATTGTGAGTTCCTACTTTTTAATACAGTTATAAGATAAAATTAATACAATATTTATGTAAATTAAACACTTAATTATGTTCCTAATGTTAAAGTAAAAACTTCATCGCTAGCACCACATGTGTCGTCTTATAAAAAAGTTAAATAATACATTTCGCATTTATAATGCACTACTCGTGTCAACTACAGACAGCACTGTAATGTTATTTTTTTATGTTAAATTATATTTATATGTAGGTATATGTGGCAGAAATTTGTGGGTACTTTGTGTGTCTTTCATGTATGGTTCTACTGAATAAAATTAACTTATAATTTTATAATATGCGACAGTAAAATAATTACGTAGAGTTTATAATAATTTAAAAATATATGTCGCTATTTTAAACTGCGTATTTTTTATAACAGAAAGTTAGTTTTAATTTAAGCAACATTTGTATTTTTTATGTATGTACATATGTTGTAACGACTCTATACAGGTGTTGACTTTCTTCGTGTGCCTTATGGTCCTTTCCGCACAGATCGCCACACCACATATAATTTTATATAAATACGACTATATGTACTATTACACCATTATACATTCAACATCAAATCACACACAACATACCAACATGAAGCTTTTATTTGTAAGTTTATCATACTTATATTTTAAGAAAGATATATACATAGTCAATATGTTAAATTGCTTAGATTTTTATCCAGATTATACATTTGGTCTCTAAACATTTTATGCAGAAGTGGTTGACATTTTTCGATTATAATTCACCTTTCATTTTTATTTTAGTAAATCTCGTGCTTAAATAAATACCAATTTTCAGGTCCTTCTAGCGCTCTGCCTTCACTCTGCGTACAGCACAGAGCAGAAGAAACGCTCTGCACCGATTCCCGTAAGACACTCATACTCAGAAATTACAAAGAGCGTAGCGATTGCCGTACCACATCCCGTACCTGTCAGCGTCCCACGACCAGTACCTGTAGCTGTTCCAGTCGGAGTAGCAGTGGATCGGCCCAGACCGGTCCCTGTACTAGTACCTCAGCCGGTACCTCATGTGATCACTCGACCGATAGCAGTTCCTGTAGACAGACCGTATCCAGTAGCCGTGGCTCAACCTGTACCAGTTACTGTAACTCAGGGAGTTGGTATCCCCGTACCACAGCCGTATGCTGTTGGTGTACCAGCGCCTGTACCTGTCAGAGTACCGGTGCCAGTGCCAGTAGCTACTCAAGTTGTAGGTGTCGGAGGGGGAATAGTAGCTGGTTCGCTGGGAGCTGGTTATCTAGGGGGATATGGGTACCCAAGTTATGGGTATGGATATGGTGGGTACGGTGGATACCGAGTTGCTCCGGTTGGAGGTATTCTTGGATCAGGACATGGGTATTATTCACGTGGATGGTGAAATAGGGACAGCATTGTGGATATTCAAGGGAGCATAGAGAGTAGTAGAATGGAGTCGGGATAATAATAGTTATTGCAAAAAGTTTATGAATTTGTAATATTGTGCATGAATCTATCTAAAGAGAGATTTATAGCAGTTTTCCACTCTTTTTGGGAAGGGTCTTGTTAAGACATGGAAATGGAAGGCTTCAGGATTTTGTTAGGCAGGTAACTTAAAATAATTCTGGGGCTGAAGGATATATCTTAAAAATAGTTTTTAGTTATTAGATTCGTGGTTTTGTAAAATATCTATTGTCAAGTCGTGACGTAAAATGTCATGACGTCATTATGGCGATTATTATTTAAAAAAATTGTTATAACAGGCACAATATATGCACAATCAATACTTTACTATTGAATTTAAATAGAACAATAGTTCTAAATACGAACGATTGAAGTATTAAAGTCTAACTGGTCTAATGAGGAAGCTTTACTCGGAAAAATTTCATCGTTATGTGTCAAGCCGTTTCGAATACTGATATCTCACATGTCGTCATCATGACGAAACACTTTTCTTTCATATTTAATTTATAACCATTTTTTTCATATATATAGTATTTTATATGTTTCGTATAATAATTTTGGTTTGGGTTTGTTAATCTAGTCTTAGAATCGATATCTACATTTTATAATGGCCCATCGTCGTATGATATTAGCTTTAATTAGATAAGTTACTCAAAGTTCTATATCAAATGGAAATAAAGACTGTTATATTGATTAATTACTTTTTCTACCCGAATATATTTAAAAATGCACCAATATCTGTATTCAGTGAGAAATAAAAAAAGACACAAGTAAAAGAGAAGATAGATTAGTAAAACCGATAAATAAATGAATTTAGATCTATACGAATAACTAAATTACTACTACTACTACAAGCATTTAAGGTTTATTTTCCCGCAATTATTTGTTTTTTATTTTTCTAATTATAACTCTTTTTCTCTTGAGTGTATATTCTTTACAACCCCCTAAACAGCCCCAATCACATGATTTCCCATAGACTTAGTAACAACAACCGAAATAATACGTATATCTTTAAATGAGATTAATTCGTAAATATAATAGTACACATCTATTATGTACATTAGTTTTAGGCTATTGAAAACCGATGTCATGTGTATCTTTAGACTTGTGTAGGTGCTGTTTTTTAATTTATGTTTAAAGGTGAACATGATTTTTAAACTTATGCCGGTTTAAAAATTGCCGCAAAATTGCTTAGTCATTTTTAAATACTGTCTGTAGTGCGAGTAGTCCATTTTAACGGTTTAAAACGCGATAAACATTAGTTAAAACAACTTTTAACTAATACATATCGTGTTTTAAGCCGTTAAAATGTTTTATTTAACTTAGCATTTTTCTCAAACTACAGACTGACTCGGATGCTTTGTATATTTTGAGGTTTAATTCATTTGTTTTGGTACAAAGTTCCTTTATTCGTTTTTCCAAAACTGAATATTCGCTTAAACGAAACATTTTAACGGTTTGAAACGCGACATAGATATATTAGTTAAAGTTGCTTGAACATTATTTTCAACTTTGGCCCCGTGACCACGGCTGCTGCAAAGCATCGGGCCGAAGTTAAAAATAATTTTCAAATCAATGTAACTAATATATATCGCGTTTTAAACCGTTAAGCTGTTTCATTTAAATGGGTACCTCTCGCGTAAACAACAGATAGTATTTAAGTGTTTGTTATTAATTAGAGAAAGCAACGAGGAAACAAGAACGCGCTGACAAAATGTGTCAGCTATCACAAAATTTGGATAGCGATAATTTTATCATATCCCGATTAGCTGATAACGTATCGTTGTCCATTGTTAGTTCGTGGAGACCATTTGTGTAAAGTGTACAGTGACTATGAAGTCGAGTAAGTAAATAATACTTTTTCAAGCATGGGTTCTTTTTTTTTCGTATGTTGTTAGATATGTTCATTTTGACGGGCCTGTTGATCCAATGGTAATATATGGCTTATAATCAACAGCCGTGGGTTCCATCCCCAATAGATCCAATATTTTTCCAATCATTTATAATTTTTCTGAAAATGGTTTTTCGGCAGAGGAGGGCAGTATGATCTTCACTTAATATAAGGCGAAATAGCCTAGCTACATAATATCTAAGGTGTGCTTTCGCCTTTTTTAGCTGCATTCTAAGGGAAATCTACAGACAGATACCAAAACGCCATTACAATTTACGACTTTTCCATCAGTGGCCGGTAGTTCTTGACCCTAACAGAAGTTTACAGTTCCTTCCATTCCAAATTTTCCAGAAGTCTTATATGTTTTAGTAAAATTATAAACTGTTTTTTTTTTAATACTATGAGTTCGCTGGGAATCAAATCTAAGAACCATCGATTGTGTTGGATTTTATGATATGCACAATTGTATAGAAATATGCATAATATCGATTTATTATCATGTTTTATAGCGTTTTATTAACATTAACAAAACTTTCAGCATTTTCTCAATCATTGGAAGCAATTTCGCGACAACGCAGCTTTGCTTGTCTATCACTGAAGTTTGGAAGTTTGTTTTCTGGGCTAGCGATTATCGTAAGTTAGTTTGATTATTATTTAGCGCAGATAATATCAAAGAGGTCGCCATATACTCGTACAAAAAGAACATAGTGCATATGATTAGCGTATAGCGATAAATAAGTAATTTAAAACAAAGCTAAATTTTAATAAAATTTAAATAAAGTTGAAATTCCACTGCGCGAGAGGTGCATGTATCAATAAGTTGAAAAAAAGCGACGATTAAGAGTAGGACTCGATAGCGCAATTGGTAGAGCAACAGCACGAAACGCTGACGATGCCGGTTTAAGTCCTGCCCGAGTCGAAATTATTTTCGATTTTTAAATGACTCCGCATGTTATATATATAATATAAACGTAAATTATCGATGGATACCAATAGACAAAGTTAAAAAGGACGCGCCAAACTTATTGAAAATTATCTTTACATGCTATAGATTGTTTTAATCTTTGAATCAAGGGTTATTTTTAATATTCAATTAAACTCTACGAACATTTAAGAAAGAAAGAAACATTGATTTACTACTAAGGCACACAAAAACACATATTTAAAACTTAAGCTTAGCTGCTATATTATGTAGTTCATTCTATGGAATGAATCCAAATATACCATCTTTTACTTCTTATCTTTTACCGTATTTCATTCAAAAGTCCTTTCTTTCAGTTATATTCGATATTTGCGTTGGCGCACTGTTTCTTGTCGTTTGGAAAACTTCCAGCAGAGTTCAACACAAGTGATTTCAATATCGTATTTGCGTATAGCGTGGTTGCTGGCCTTACCTTCACGCACGCTTTTACCCTGTTCCTGAGTGCTTTATTGCTAGTTGGAGTTATAAGAGTAAGTAGAAAGTAATATAAAGTTAAGAGTGAATATAGAGGATAATGATTTTGTGGTTCCGTGCCTAGGTCAGGTGTTTTTAAGCTTTAGGACTTATGGTCTTGGATTTTTGTCAAAAGAGGAAAATGGTTTTGGTCAAATTGGGTGTCTAAAAATTATGAATTTTTTGTTGTCAAAACACGATTTTTAAATCAATTGAATACAACGAACGCAAAGGTTTCTGCCTCGTGACTAAATAGATTTGAAAAAGAAATGTATTTTACTAAATTTTGATAACTAATAACTAATTTAATAAAATATATCAAATAACATTTTAAGAAATTGCAACGTTATAAAATTTTGCTTTTATGTTTCAACAGGAAAAACTACCGCTAATACGGCCATGGATCGTTTGGACGTCTATTCAAGTATGTCTGTCTGTGATTATGTTCGTCTTATGGAGTACCATGAGTCTTGTCACGCATGAAGGAAGCGGGTCATTGCTACTATATGTCGTCGACTTTTTAGTGCTTAGTAAGTAGAATCGACAAGGCTTCTTCATCTGTGGTTTGTGACCGGAATTTCAATTTCTACCACCCATTTAGTATCCAGATTTCCAGACGAAAGCCAACATTTTCAGGAAGATTATAAATTATTTAGAAAAATGTTGGGCGCGGTAGGGTTCGAACCCATGGCGCGTGGATTTCATACAGTGCTGCCATTGCATATTATAGGGTCATGAAACTTTAAAAATATATTCAATCTACCCCTAATAAGTTAAAAAAAGACAGGTAATTTCTTTCAAGAACGAATTTTATGCTTAATGTAAAACACACACATTTGACGGTACTGCAAAAAAAAACTTAGCAATTTTGAGTGTCTAATGTCACTTTGAAAATTAAGTATAATATTATGTATTTTTAGTGGTCCGTTTCTACATGCTGATGATAGTAGCAAGCTTCTACAAGCAAGTGGAGGAATCTGGTGGGGAAACTGAAAGGTTAAAAACCGTAAACTTGGAGAACTGGTACACAGCGTAACATTTGACAAAGGACAACGACCACAGAGTAATTAAAAACACTACTTGTGTTTAAACTTATTTTTTATCTGTTTTAAAGTAAAAGATAATAAATATAAAATAATACATAACAATATTATTATTTTGAGTAATCCACATGTTCGTAGCCAAGTTGGTAATAAGATTTTTATAATCTGCATTACTAGTACATTTAGAGATTCACACCCAGGATAAACTAGCTAAAGCTAGTGTGTTATGAGCTATGATAGCGTTTGCTAAATCCTATTTTTAAACACTTGGAATGACTTTTGATGTACTAAAATTAAATAAGCCTGTGTAAAACAAATGTGCTTATTTATAATATTATCGCTAATAAATACATAGATAATTACTTTATTTATGAGATTAATTATATAGATAACTTTTTTACTATCAGATATAATAGTTAAGTATATTTTTTATTTTGTAACTTGTGACTAGTATTTATAATAAAACTAAAGAAGTGGACCATTTTATTTATTTGGCATAAATTCCCTTATAAATAATTAGAAATAATCTTGTATGTAATATTTACAACTATTCATATATATTGCTTTTAAATAACATCAATATGAAAAAATCCTTTGTATAAAAATATAACTGAGGTGTTTTCCTGTATTTAAGATGTATTACCTATTTTAAAACCTACTTAAATACAAAAATATTATCACAAAATATTTGAATTCATTAGCTTCCTAATTTCTCCCTGATAACGATGATTAGCAAAAATATTTTATTAAAAAATCGAATTTCTGTTTAATTTAGCGTTTGTGTATTAAGAAAAGCGCCATCTAGTCTGTAAAAATAAAAATAAACTTGGCATGTAAGTTTTCATCTTTACCTACACTTTCTACTTGTTACAATCATGAATATAGTCTTTAGAGATTAATTGCGTCCCCAGCAATAAATCTGTATTGAAGAAAAATGATTACTTTGAATATCATGAAAAACTGAAAATGAGTTTTTAATAGTTATTTGTAATATTTCCGTTGCGGGTTCGAATCTCGGCGGAGAAACTCGGTTCTCCAAAGATAATCCTTTACGCACTTACTTATTGTACACATCTAAACGGTCTTTCAGTTCCAATTCAATTAACTTAAATATACATTGAATTGATTTGAGATTGAAATGTACAGAGAGTAACGATGATAAACCAAATAAAATTATACTGTATCCCCGTCTCTCGTGTACTTCACTGTGCCATCTCGTTTCATCTTCACAATTGAACTCCAGATTAATATCACCAGGTAGATTTGTACCACTGAAAAGAGTTGAATACTTATTAGGAATAATACAAGGGAATAATGATATATATAACAAAAAAAACTGTACGTGGTAAACCCACGTGACATTACGACTCGATATTTCAGATGGTTTGTTAGTTTTGTCAGGGGGGACTAATGATGGCATTTCGAACGGTTAAAAGTGTTTTATTTAAATGTATACTACGACAGACAATACTTCCTATAAGCATGTACATGCATATATAGTAACATGTACAATCTATCACAGACTTCAACCTACACTTTTCTAGGCTTTTCTATGAATAGTCGAAGGTTTGTAACTTGGGAAAAGCTTGGAAAAATGCTTCCACTTTTTGTTGAGTCAGATTATTATGAATTTATTACACGCAGCTACTATAATACTTACTAAGTTGAAACAGGATTAGGAACAGTTCACTAGCTGTCTCCTTGGTGAGGAAAGCCAGGCTATACACGAAGCCAATCGCTGAGAATATTATCTCGAAGTTCAGGTAGACCTTCATTAGTAGCACTTGTTTCTGAAAAATTATTCAAAACAATATCGGTATACGGGGGCATGGGAGCGCGCTTAAGCTATTCTATGAAACAATAATCAATTAATCCATTTATATATAACTTTAACAATTAAAATAAATACAAAATTGAAGACCAGGCAATGAGGAAAATCTAAAAAACAGTACAATTTTTAAATTCTTGCTCAAAGGCTTTAAATTTCAAATTCGTGCTCAGTTTGTGCTGAGCAATGATTGCTAAGCGCTGATTTTCAGTCTAAGGATAATTTGAAGCCTATAAAGGGACGTGACTACAGACGAAAAACCACTCACCATATGTAAAGCTACGATAAACAACATAGACATGACGATCTCCAACACTAACGCCGTCGTATCAGCTATCAGTCTTGGGTATTCGGATGTGTCAGCTATCTCCGAATTCCTTACGTAGGAGATATAGAGGGACAGCATTATCGTCACTGCTATTGTCAGCATCTGAAATCGAAAAGTAACATATATACCTTGTTGAGGTTGAGGTGGTAAGAAATTACATGCATGCACGTATCAAGTATGCAAGCATATATGTGAATGCATGCATGTATTCTTATATATAAAGAGTTTGTTTGTTTGAACCCGTTAATCTAAGAAATTACAAGTTCGAATTGAAAAATTATTTGTGTTGGTTAGAGCATTTATCGAGGAAGGCTATAAAACATCGAACTGTGACTAATACAAGCGAGAAATGTGAAAGAAATTGAGATAATTACTCCTAATTATGGGTTTCCGCATACTAAACCTGCCTCGATAAATGCTCTAATCAACACAAAAAGACTCTTCTAATTCGATCCACTAGTCCCTTTATATTTTATTTATACATTAGTATAAATTACATTTTTTTGAGATTATAAGGTCAATTTAGACTTTCATTTTAACATAGATATATTATATACTATATATATTCTACTACATTTAAATTAGTAAAAGCGTTTAGCATTGACCTCGGCATATGCCTAGGAGTTGCATAATTAGCATTTCCATAAAAGAAACAAATTTGCACACGATCGGAGTTTCACTTTCTACCAGAGAAAGTGGTCAAACTTTATCTTGTTAAGGCCGCTAACATTGAACTAAAAACATTACTGATGGTAACTTTTGGACTTTCTCTGTATTAATATGTTTTACTAGCTGTGCCCGCGACTTCGTCCGTGTGGTATAGTGACTTGGGGTAGAATTTTTAGTTTAGGCTGTTTATTGTATTAATTAATGTAAAAACCACGAATTTCCATACAAACTTTCACCCCCTTTTTAACCCCTATCAACCCTTATTTGGCATTAAAAATTAAGTAACTTTCTCAGGCTCTAAAATATCTATGTACCAAATTTCATTTAAATCAGTTCAGTAGTTTCGGACAGCCGGACAGACAGAGTTACTTTCGCATTTATAATATTATTTAATACATATATATTATAGTATAGATTAAATTAATATTGAAAATTTAGTTGTGTTTTTTTGCGTTTACTTTTAATGATAAGCAACCAGTATGTTTTAACAATGTCCCACTATTAGGTGCAGGTCCGATTATCTAAAGCCAAAATAGGCCGACAGCGCATCTTTTGTAGTATAACTAAGTATTTCATCTACCATCACGTGAAGCCAATGTTTGTCTGTCTTCCTCCATCATTAAAAAAAGGTCTTATTATATAAAAAAAAACTTTTTAGTAGTCCCCCGAGTTGCTGGCCTTGATCTACAAACTCGGATAAATATTAAAAGAGGTTTGGAACATGTTGGATATCTAAACCCAAAAGAGGGCCGACAGCGAATGTTGTTTAGATGTTATATGGTGGGAGTATGGAGGTATGGGGGGGCTGTCCTATCTATCATAAAAAAGAAACTCACCGTATTGACATATGCGAAGGCGATAAGCCCCTTCCGGAGCGGGAAGCAAAAGCAGCATCTTGTTAGAATTGGAATTTCCACTGACTCGCAGATTTTCTCCCTGAAAAAAGGGACACGAATTACAATTTATAACATTTGCTTACAGTGCAATATGTTTTAATACCGAAAAATAAATGTTGAAGTCAGTTTAGTATCTTTACGGTGCGTGAAGACTTACACTTCTATAATAAATTGTGTAAGGCTTTCGAGGCCATCGTTCAGCGTATCATTGTCTTTCGGGCTGTTAGGCCGATGTGAGCGAGAAGAATTCTTCGAGCAATCGAGGAGTTGACATCTCCTGATTATGCCGTCCACACGTGATGGCGAAACACTTTAACGGCTTAAAACGCAAAAAATATAGACTAACTTATTTTCAAGCGTCGAATCGTAGTCTATTTATTTATTTATTTATTTATTTAGAAAGGTTTACCAACGTTATGTTACAATCTTCAAAAAATCATTAATTCTAAAAAAAAACAAGATAACTGCACCTAAACAATTAAAGGTAAACACCGCTTTTTGTTACACAGAAGTACAATAAATTTTATTTAACTTAACATCAAGTTTTATACATTTCAACTTTAAATTTATATAACTAATGATTAGTACTACAATAACAATAAAAACTAAGCTATGACTTTTCGTAAGTTTTTGGGTGAAATACAGAAAATATCAATTTTATCACTAGTTATTAAGGAGTTTACTAAGCCTAAAAATAGGGAATTTGAAGCGAAAACAGTTAGAAAGGAGGTTGAAAGGGAGTTATGGGCTTTCTTGGGTATTAAGGGGAACACGAAATTTAATTTTGAAATTGGGGACAATCGATTTTATTGTTTAGCATTTAAATAGAAAGGTTAAGTCTAAAATTTTACGACGTATCTGAGCCTGTATATTAAAAAATCCCAATCGTTTCTTACAGCAGGCCTTTTCGAAGTGCAGCAATGTTAATGCCAGAGGAATCGTTTTTGAATTCTCTCTAAGCGTAAGAATTGAAGTGTCGCCATACAACCGGGCAATATTCTAAAAACTTCGAACTAAGTGTTGAATAAAGGATCTTAGCTTTGGGGTTATGAAAACCTTTTATGTTTCTAGAACAAAGCCTAACATTGAGAGGAGCGGTTTATTATGTTTTAGTTGTAGTCAGTTTATGATCGAAGTGACACCTAAGTTTGTTCACTTGTTTCTCTTCAATGTAATTATTTCCTATATGATACCGATATTTTTGTTGTCTTTTTCCTGCAATACCTAACAATAACATTTTTTTATATTCAACTCCATTCGTTAAGCACCATTCATTTACCATATTCAAATCGTTGGCAACTAGATGTTAGGGCTATTAATTATTTTCAGAATTTTTAGATCATCCGCAACATAGGCTGAGATGATTTTAGAACGAAGGTAGATCATTAATAAAAATATTAAATAGAATAGGCCCCAAGGGCCCTGTGGTACGCCAGATGTAATTTCTTTTTTAGTGGAAGAGAATCCGTTAACTACTACGTAAAAGTTGCGGTTTGATAAATAAGATTTAACCCATTCGTAGAAAATGGGGGATATACCATATTTATTTAGTTTCTGTAAAAGAATTTGATGCGGAACGCGATCAAAAGCTTTACTAAGATCTGTATAAACTACATCTACTGCGCATTGGTCTAGTGATTCAGTTACTGTTCAGTAAGAGTGGTTGTAGTGTCGATCTACACTTAACAAAACCAGTGCTCAACGCTGAGGAACTGCTTAACATAATTTTGTAAAATTTAATTGTAAATTTTGTATGTGGGGACAAATAATCGACTCGAAAACCTTTGCCAAAGTAGAAGAGAAACGGGCCTGTGTTTTGCATAGGTCGCGATTCCCTGTCTTAATCGGTACTATTTTTGCCAGTTTCCACATCATGGGAAAGCCAGACTGTAAAGATTTATTAAAGATCAAAACAAGGATCGGTAAGTAGTTAGCACATTCAAGTGTGAGTTCGGGTCCAGCTCCTTTATTGAGTCGTTTTTTAATTTTTTTAATGTTTCAGATCTATCTATTAGGACATGATAGAACAAGACTGCCACTGTAGAAATTTTTAAAAAGCTATTAGCCATTTCATTGCTGGCACCATTTTGGCTCATCATGCTATTCAATCGTAAACTGACCCGAAAAGTAAGAAAAAAGTTCACATATTTCTTGACCATACTCGTAGTCTTGAACCATCTGTCATAAAGGCAGGATAAGTACTAGGTACCGCGCTTTGATTTTATATATGTCCAAAAATATTTAGAGTCAACATTAATATATCCAATAACCAATACGTATTATAACATTTTTGAGCCATTTTTGAGCAACGCTCTGTCAAGAGTTTTAATTCAACTTCATCTCTAGGTTTGTATTTTTTAAATTACGTCAATAACTAATTTCTTTTAAGCATTCTTATAGTTTACCGTTAAACCATCGTGGATATTCATTTTTCTTGACGGAGTGCGGTACAAATAATTCAATTAAATGTATTTTTGTGAAGAAAATTCCAAGCATTTCATTGACGTACTAACTGAAAAAGAGAGCAGTCACAATCCTTTAGGCCATCACATATTTTATCGTATTCAGCTTTACGGAAATTTAGTTTTGTATTTAAATTATTGTAGGGAAGCTTAGGATTAATCGTTAGGGAAATCGACAAGAGAGGATGAAAGGGATCTACAGGAATATGGATAGAACAGTCAGAAACACTACACACGGGCAAATTGGAAAGGACTAGATCGAGGGTTCTATTAAAACTATTTTTAATCATGTTATGTTGTTTTAAACCGTTCAAACAAATGAATTCAATCAAGGGCTGACATACGCTAGGAGCGGTATAACCATTATTACCGTACCCAACAGCCCCAATCAAGATTTCCCAAATTAAAATCTCCAAAAATACAGTATTGATATGATCCATTGAAAAAATTATTACAACTATCTAGGAAAGATTCCAATGTAGAACGCTTCACTGGAGGTGGCAGGTAAACGATACCAAAAGCTATGTGATGAGTCGTACGCGAATCAGGTAAGTCTATAAAATCCAAAGGTCTTCAAGCGGCCAATTAGTATACGTCTGGTTTAGTTTTTTAGAAACCGCGATTAAAACACCTCCGCCCTCTTTTTTGTGCGATAGGTCAGTATCGCATCTATCTCTCCTATACTACTAACGATCATCAAATAGCTACACTTAGTACAGAGTTATTAAGCCACGTTTCGGTTATAAACAACATATCAAAATCATTACATGCAACTTGCCGGTAAAACTCATGAGTTTTAGTTTTCAAACCACGAGTATTCTGGTAGTATATTTGCAAATTATAGTTAGGCTTTGAAAACAACTGCGAGTCTACTGAGGAAGCTAACACAACCTACTCCAAAGTATTTAAGAACTCCATATTATTAATAACAATGTAACGCGATTCTGCGTTCTTTCTTACAAAGATGCGTCCATTACGAATCCACACAAAACTATATCCCTTTTCCTTGGCCTTAAGCCTAGTCGAGCGTGCAGAGCCTTGTTGGAGGGGATAGATGCTCGCTGATGTAAATAGGTGTTGAATTGCAAGAGAGACCAATGTGAGTAGTGTTAAGTTTATTTGTTGAATTTTTCTTATTAAACATTGTCACTGCTGCCAAAAACTGGTCTCTCAATCTAGGGGATGATAACTGAACCACAATAGACCGTGGGCAGTATTGGCTCGGTTAACCTTAGCAAACGAGTAAAATGCATAAATCACTCGACGATTTCCCAACCAATCACCTTTCCAACACACTTAATCAACTCCAAAAGATTTCACTTTTACGTTGGGTATACACTGAATTTCTATGTTGGTTTGGCAGTGTTGCTCCAAGTTGTTACACCGCAGTTCTGAACGTTACTTTTTAATTCAGCATTTTCGCTTTCCAGTGTCGTAATTTTAGATTCCGATAATTCGTTTCGCTTAACAGCGTAGAGGCTGTTCATTAAAGCCATGGACTCCGTGAGCGAAGATTTGATCTCGAGGGGTTTGATCTCATTATTATGGTTCGTTAATTGCTAGATCAGCCAAAATCTCCTTAAACACCTCCTGGACAATGTTCCTAATCCAGGTATGTTACGTTCCTTGGACGGGGTTAAGAGCTACTTTTCCCCTCGTTGGTTGTTACGAACAGGGGTATCGTCGGTTTTTGATACGCGAATATTCTCAACACATTCCGGGCAGGTCCATATTTTTTCCATCTCTGTACTTACGGAGAATATGCCAAACATGATGAAAGCTTTAGAACACTTTAGACAAGTCTAACTCTACCATCTTGGAACAAGCCCAGTTATGGATTCCATCATATGTGTAAAGTTGGGGGTATGAAAGTTATGTAAAATGTGATGAACCAACGCGTAGTACAGTTATATTGACGGAAAAGTAGATCTTAAGCAAAACGGTCTAACACTGCAGCAGCTCGCCTTAACATCCTGCAATGAGTAAAATGAGCGTAATCCTTTCCCGTATATCTCAAACGGAAATAATCTTAGGAGTTTTTATCACAACAGAAGATTTTTTTATTTCTACTGACACTATAATATAAAACTTTTATTTACTTATACTGAAAAAATATGCTTAAGACGATGGAACGTGTTGGTTTTATAGTTTTTTTTTTAAATAAGTCTAACTAAAATGTTTCGCGTTTTAAACCGATGAAATGCTTTTATTTGAATCTAGTTGAGTTGCCTATAAATAAGATCTATCAGTCTCAAACATATCGTTAACGCAACAACAATAGATATGATTACGAACAGTGAATTTCTAGTATCACAACAATTACGCGTTAAATATTGTCCAGGATGCCCCCTTCCTATGATAACTTATCGAAATGTGAAAGTTGTAACGACCTTTTGACCATCAGTGGACATAGGATACATAGAGATTTTGTCTATGTTCTTGGAAGTTAGATTCTATTTAATATTTTCTAAGGCTTTTCCCTTAGAGTATTAGTAATCTACTGGTAAATAAAACACTTTAAATGGTTTGAAATACAAAATGTATTAGCTAAAATAAATTAAAGATATATTAATTCATA